ACAAAGGGGGGGGGGAATTTCTGTGTGATTGTGAATCAGTATGATAGGTTTTACCCCATAACTAACTCATCATATTGTATGTCATCATATCATCAAAAAGCCTAACATGGAGATGTACCCAGTGCAATGGAAATCCTTCAAAGCTGTTTTCATAAATCTGTTGCAATAAGACTTTTCCTCATGACATATTTAATGTAAAACATGTAAACAGCATTACAAAAATCTTATATCTAAAGCTGATAATACAAAGCACTTTCTCATGCTTGCCACAATAAAACAAATTGTGTCATTTTGTAGCTGTAGTTGCTCTGGCGCTTTCCTATTGTAGGTTATAATTTTATAACCATCCAGTACTGAAACAGGATATATGACAGGGTAAAACTTGCACTTCAAAAATGACATGGAATATAATAGAAGAAATTTCCTCTATGCTTTTTTCCTAAAATCTTATCAGATTCCTCTTAGCTTCAAACTGCATCATGGCCCTAAAATCCACAAATCAGTCTTCCTTTTTGTATTTATGTTGTAAAGTTCCTAAAATAATTTAATGCTCTTTATACAAAACTGTATTATATGAATGCTAAACAAAACTTATACACATTTTACTTTACAATGAACAATGCTACCTGATGTAAAAATGATTGTTCAAATACTGGTTCTAATTTAAAGCTCTCCATGATAGGCAAAGACTTTCACCAACACCCTAACTTATTAGTGGGGCTACTTAATCCTAAACCAATGGTGTTCTCATATTAATGAACATATGCATTTTTAATACAGAATGACCGCCTTCAATTAAAAATGGTGTTTGAAAGGGATATATCAGATTTTAAGATTTTTTGCTTTTGAAGATCCTTACACATTTTCAAGAGATTAGTAGAGAGATGATTATATGCAACTAGTAGCTAATTCCATCTAGCCATAATTACATTTATGTACAGTAAAATACATAGTAGCTGCATTTTTAAGGTGAAAATTGAGACTCAATTTTATTTACATCTATATTATGTAAGCATCCTACAATATCCAGGTAGACATATATACGCATTCCTGTATCCCCCTATCTTTGGGTTATTTAACATAAATTTCCTAGGAAACGATAACTTTCCTTGCACCGTGATTTTTAATGATGAGATTTTAGAGCTATCCAAATATCATAGAACTACCATGCTAAAAAAAAACACACACAAAAATAAACAAACAAAAAAAACTTCAACAGCCTGCTCCCCGCCTCCACATCTGTCATTTCTCAAGACAGTTCGTCTATTCAAGAAATGTCTTGTGTATCAAATAGACTTGAATGCAGCATTACCATTAGCCACAATAATTAACCTTGTCATTTGGCCAGTCTTGTCTCTAAAAGTCTCCAAATTTTTCATCAGTTACTGGAAAAGAAGAAAAAAAATCTTTAAAGAAATGTGCACTCCTGAAATACTGCCTCCAATGTTCAACGGATATCTGTGCCAGAAGTGAATGCACATGCCATAATTAAGTTAGGTGGCAACAAAGCAGGAGGATTATATGCTTGCAGTTGTTTAAAGTATTCTCTCTGTATAGACAGAAAATTTTCTTTAAAAATAAACAAAATTTAAATACATAATATTTTTCCATCTATAAATCTGTTATTTTTTTCTAATGTCCTTTAAATCACAAATCCAATAATATTATAAATCATGTAAAATATAGAAAATTACTTTAAGCCCTTGGGCTTCACATTGAACTAGTATCTGAACAAAAATTCAAGTTGTTTATATAGAGAACTAGAAGATATTTTTGCCATCATGGTTGATCTGGTAAAACAAGATGTGTGAAATTAGGCAGATTAAACACATCTAGTCAAACTAGATAATGAAACTCCCTTTTTTTTTTTTTTTTCTCCTCATTCTCTGTCATTTGCCTTTCTCATTATCCCACTAGTTTTCCATAGTGAGCGCCACCCTGGGCCTAATTACGTCAGTGACTTTTATGCCATTAATTTCAATGGAAGCAGGATGTGGTCCAGTAAATTATTCCCCAGCATGATCTGCTCGGTATTACATTAGACCATGGCAATAGAGAAAAGAAAGCTCCTTATGAACTGAACTCTTTAAAATATGAATTCTTGTGTTTGCAATGTAAGTTACTGCTATTCTTCTATGATCTAAAGGTTTCCCAAATTATCAGAAAGGTGGTCTCAATAGGCAAGCCTCATAATGCAATATAGTCACCATTAAACTCTTACAGACATCCTAAATATTGAGGGAAAACACCAGTAATCTAGTAAAGTTATTTAGGCTTAATTGTGCAGCTGTCATCAATAAATTCTTTATAAGCAATTTTAATACTGCTTGTAAACTCTTTGGACCACCACTTGTGGGTGTCAGGAGGATGGGGCCAAACTCTCTTCAGTGATGCCCAGTGACAGGACAATGGGCAATGGGCACAAACTGAAGCACAGGAAGTTCCGTCTGAACACGAAGAAGAACTTCTTCCCTCTGAGGGTGACGGAGCACTGGAACAGGCTGCCCAGGGAGGTTGTGGAGTCTCCTTCTCTGGAGATATTCAAGACCCACCTGGACAAGGTCCTGTGCAGCCTGCTCTAGGTGGCCCTGCTTTAGCAAGGGGGTTGGGCTAGGTGACCCACAGAGGTCCCTTCCAATCCCGAACATCCTGTGATTCTGTGAAAAGGCAACATTGCTGGATTTTGAGGACTACACTTGAAGTACTAGAAAACAAATCCAAAAGAAAAGTGTTTATATGTAGCCTGTAGCTTTTCTCTCCTTAGCTCTCTTACTCCTCTACTTTGAATAAAGTCCTGCAGTCATTAGTGTCCTCCTACTTCTCATCTTCTGTGATTACTATCCCATGAGCTTTCCAGAGTCAACACATATTGTTTTCTAGGATCTGTAGTACTTTCCCAAGACCAAGCTTACTTGTCAGCTAAAATAGGATAGTCCACTTTTTTTGTCGTGAAATGCCAGTGTCTGGAAGCAAACTGGTGTTGCAAAAGACCCAAACAGATACATACAAATGATATTCAAAGAAGTGGACCTTGTTACCAGGATTTGTAAACTGTCCTGGGGCCTGGTCTCTGCAATGCCGTGTGCCAAACTGGATGCTTCATATTCTTATTCTTTGCTTTTGAACTTGGATTCACACCGCATTTTTTCCTCCCTATCATAACTCCAGTTAAGCTAATTTCATTTTACTTTGGCATTCTTTAAAATCTAAATCATATACCTTCTCTGCTGTATTCTCAAGAATACAAAAGCTGTAGAACAAATATTATTGACATGTCTTGGCAAAGTGCTTTTATACTTGGTTTCTTCATTAAATTACATTCAGTTTTACTTATAATGAGCATAATCCATTTGATACTGTTGCCCCAAATTCCCCTGAGGAAAGCTGAAGTTCTGAATCGATATTTGCATCTGAGTCAACTGAGTAATGTTCAAAATCACATCAGACTTGAAATCTGAAAAATGTCCTGTTCCAGGATTTTGACTAAGTTATATTGCAGAAGTGTGTTCCTGCAATGCTTTACAGCTCTTGGTGTACTTTAATCTTGCCACTGCAACAGGTTACGTGACACTTTACTTATCTGTATCCTATCTCTGTAAACACCTTAAGAGAACACTGACCATCAGGAAGCAGAAGCACATTTCTGAAACTCATCCTTGGGCGTCTTTTCTGAAATCATATTTCTTCTCCCTGTCACACTCCTTAATCGTTCCTCTTCTGCAATAAATTGTTATTTCTCTCCCTGTTAGAATTCTTTCCTGTCATTCATCAAGTTATGAGTACCTTTTGCTTGAGTACAGGAATAAAATCCCAGTAGATTTCAGGAAGCCTTTAAACATTTTCCTTTCTCATAATGTAGATAGTAGGGAACTCCACTCAGAATGTTGTCTGTGCGAGAGTTTCATTGTTTGTTTCAGAGTTTTGTGGTGCTTTGAGACAAATGAGATATTTGGAAAGATGGAATTATCGGTACTGTGAGTATTATTCTCAGTTTTGTAAGCAGAGTGTCTAGATAAGGAAGCTTTTGAAATTTTTCACGTTTGGTCTGAAAAGTCTTTAATAGACAACGGGACCTTGGAAGATTCTGAAGAGGAAACAGTTTTACTGAGTTACTGCAGAAGTTCAATGCATGAGTTTATGATTTCATTTGACCTTTGATCAAGCTAGATGGATCCCTGTGCTCACAATGATAGCACATGCAGAGGCTCTGCAGAGACGAAGTAGTCTTAAACCTTGTGTGTATAGTTCCTTTTTTATGTATTATTGGAGGCATGGGATTAGCCCTGTAAAACAGATCATGTAAGTTTGCAGGTATGAAAATGATGACTTGCACAGCAATTGCTAAGAGGTAAAGATAGATGAAGCCATGAAAGTTGCTCATCTGTTTGTTAAGATCTTTGGGAAAACTAAGAAAAAACAATGCACTTGAAGACTCAGGTCAGTCAGTAGGACAAACTTTGTACGTTTGTCTGGGACCACTGAGAAATACCACAGAAGGTCTTCAAAATAGGCTGAAAAGAAAACAAACAAACCTCTTTAGCTATATTGATCCTGCTTTGGTGTTAGGGAACAAAGTGGGTGACTTCTTGATATCCCTTTGAGCTCTGTTTTCTATGATTCTAAATTCCCAGATGCATCCTCAGGGCGACTCTCTACCTGTAGATTTTTGGATAGCAAAAAATGTTATCAAATACAACTGTGGCAGAACATATACTTGTCTCAATTCTTTATTGCAAGTGAATATCCAATTAAACCTTTCACTTCAGTATCCCACTGGTTTTCTCATTTGTTGACTCACGCAGGATGAGGGCAGAAGAGTGCTGCTGAACACCTGATTACATCCTTGGCAATGGGAAAACTATATAGACAAACACCAAGACTGCTAGCTCAGCATTCAAAATTCATATAAATAAAATACCGAAGGCCAAATTAGGCTTTTACTTTACTGTTTTCTTCAATCGGCAAATGCAAATATTTCTCCATAATTTATGTCTTGACAGATGATAATGAATGTGAAAATGCTACTCAGCCTTGTGGAGAGCATGCCAATTGCACAAACACGGTGGGAAGTTATTTCTGCATGTGTATGCCTGGCTTCAAATCCAGCAATGGTCAAGAAACTTTCATACCTAATGATGGAACCTTCTGCGTGGGTAAGTTATTAACGTCTACCAGCAAGCTTTACATGTCACTCTTCTCTTATTGCTTCTGTTAATTATAAAAATCTAGAAAAATGCTTTCATATTTGTGAAGTTTGGAGTCTGGATATAAAATTCCCACAATCTGGACTGGTACAGACTTAATATTCCAGTTCAAGCCCACACTTCTCACTGATAACACAGCAGCTGCCATTGCTTTCAGTAACACTTCAATATTGACTCTCCTTGCAATATATTTAATCCACATATCACAGTTTTAGATGATGAATAGATAGTTAAGGTGACACAGAAATCCCCAATCCACCTATTTATGTCACTGTTTCAGTGATCTGTAAGGTGGTCATGTTCTTGAAACAAAGCAGGGTGACAATGTATTCTGTATTCAGGTTGCTCTGGATCAAAAAAATTCCCTATACATTTGACCTAATATGCTCCAAATATCTTTTGTTTAGGGGCTTTGATTGGGAAATTTTGGGTAATTTTTCAAGTCTGATCAAAAGCAATGAGCAGGATTAGTTATCCTACCTCCTGTGCCATTCATCAGCCTCTGTTTCTGTAGCAGCTGGATGGAATGTGTTCACGATTACAAGGGAGCAAAAGTTCTCTTGGAAAAATGTTATT